TAATAATTAAAAAAGAGTTTTTTTAAACTACTGAAATCACCTTAACCCCTTGACTGTGGATGACGTGTATACACGTCATGAAAAAAACTGGCCCAAACAGTGGATGACGTGTATACACGTCATGGCCCAAACAAGAAAACATCTTAACGTATATTCGCAAAAATTCTTACCCAGGGGTTTTTGGGGTCGCTGATCACGATTCTAAAGTCAGATTTTCAAAATAAATAATTTTTTATTCAAAATGTCCGCCAAAAATTTTGAAAAATTTCAAAAGTAGATAAATTCTTTTAAAAATTCTTACTCGGGGGTTTTTGGGGTCGCTGATCACGATTCTGAAGTCATATTTTCAAAATACATAATTTTTCATCCAAAATGGCCGCTAAAAATTTTGAAAAATTTCAAAAGTAGATAAATTCTTTTCAAAATTCTTACTCGGGGGTTTTTGGGGTCGCTGATCACGATTCTGAAGTCATATTTTTAAAATAAATAATTTTTCATACAAAATGTCCGCCAAAAATTTTGAAAAATTTCTAAAGTGGTCAAATTCTTTTAAAAATTCTTACTATTTAAACTTTGAAAAACTAATAACAGATGCGTAATCAGCGACCACGAAAACCCCCGAGTAACGAATTTTAAGCGAATTTAATGAATTTTTCATAATTGTGTCTGCAATTTTTGATCCGCCATTTTGAATTTTAAAAAACTAATGTCAGATTCGTAATCATCGAATACGAAAACCCCCGAGTAACGAATTTTAAGCGAATCCAATGAATTTTTTAAAATCGTGTCCGCCATTTTGGATCCGCCATTTTGAATTTTAAAAAACTAATGTCAGATTCGTAATCAGCGACCACGAAAACCTCCGAGTAACGAATTTTAAGCGAATCCAATGAATTTTTTAATATCGTGTCCGCCATATTGGATCCGCCATTTTGAATTTTTGAAAATTAACACCAGAATCGTAATCAGCGACCCCAAAACCCCTTAGTACATAGTGTCATGAAAATTTATTCACAAGAAGGTCTTACACATTTTGGGACCATTTTGTTATATTTTAGCTGCACACTGAAGGGGTTAAACCAATATGTGGGTGTCAGACAAGCAGAAATTTTTCGCCGTGAACTTCATAAAGTTATCAAATACACAAAGTCACTTGACAGACTAATATCAATCACGAAACATGAAGTTAAGTACAAAATGTACTGTCTAATATCAACATATGTTCAATTTTTACGAAATTAAATGAGATATTATAGTAAAAAGCTAGAATATGGGTGTCGCACACCCAGGGTGCGGTTTAAGGGTTAATGTTAATATTTCCAAGCATGTGAGTCCTTAGAAGCATTTGGGATAAATAATAATTAATTATTTTACCTAATTAATGGTATATTAGTCTCAAATAAAATAATGATTTATTATGAATATTTGATACAAACAAATCTGTAGTTCTTTGGAAAACTTATTTTCTTGATTCAAATAAATATTTGAATTAGAAGAACATGAATTACTGAATCAAGCAATTTTCATAATAATTGATTTGAAGATATATTTATTAATTTGAATTATTCCATTTATTTGACCTAAGTAATGCAAATTTGGTAAAAATAACTAAGTAATAGATAATAGACAAATAAAATATTTAATTGAATCAAACAATTTTTTCCATTTTTATTATTAATATTGATAATAATAGTTTAATATACCGACAGATTAGCTCAGTCGGATAGATGCCTCGCTTGGCGGTCGTTTTAAGGACCAAGGGTAAGTACCCTTGGTTCGCGCCCTTTTGGCTTGGTATTTTTCCGGCACGTGAGACAATCTGAGTGGGAGGTTTGACGTTGAGGTATAATGATGTGCACCGTCGATTATTGTCCGGTACACACCATTAGAACTCGACTGTCGATAAACCGGTTGTACGGTAGTGAGTCAGTTTTTCCACTCCATTTACTCCAATACAGTTTTTCCAATCCATTTTTTCCACTAATTAATTTCTCCACTGCCATTTTCTCCACTACATTTTTTCCAATCCATTTGTTCCACTATCAATTTTTTTCCAAAAAGTAATTTAATTTAAATTTTTTCAAAATTTAATGTTATGCCCAATGGCTCGAAGGTACTCCTCAATTTCGCCTTTATCTTTTTTTTCTCCATAGCTTTGTACCACATTGTTTAATCTTTCCTCGAATTTCAATCGAGACATGTTTTCTGGCCTCCTAATCTTTCGGCCCATATCCAATTCTTTAAGCATAGTCTCGGTATCCGATTGTTCTTTTCGAACTTCAACCAGGAACGCGTATAGACTTGGATGATCCCTTCCTACTACAACAGCAAACCGATTGTGCCATCCCTCTGACATATTATTTGTGCGTGACATGTTTTGCTTGACCATCTGATACATGTTCCACATTTGAGGGGGATACCTCGGCTGCGTTGCCCGACGTCTTCCACGAGCTGGTTTACCACGTACATAGCTATCTTCAAAGTACTCAGCAATGTCGATAAAAGCTTCAGGTATTTCTTCCATGAATATGTCGAAGACCATTTTAACGTCATCGATTGGAACAAAAGCTGTCGCGCACATCATTTGGGCTGCTTCTTTTATGGAACGATCTTCCGGATTGTTGTAGGCCTGCTGCAGGCCTTCTGATTGTATTCTACGATAAATTGACTGCTTGAGATGGAAGAAGCAAGATTTTACTATTACTTCAAATGACTCTGCGGCTTTAATGATCGCTAATTCGAAGTCTGTCATTATCATTGTAGTCGAGATGACAAAACCGTGCCTAGCACATTCTTCTCTCAGAACTTGAAAAACCTATTCAAAAGTTGATAAATAAATATATTTTTTTAAATAATGAAATTATAAACATGCAAATAATTGAAACCTTTTCATATGCTTTTTGTGTTTTGTTTTCCATTAATGCGTATACGAGTGGTAGTGCAACTTTTTTTTCAACACCATTGGTAATTTGTAGAACAGCAGCAAGAACAGCAAAAAGTTGGAAGAATATGTTAGGCACGACCTTGAATGTCCCATCAACGAACCATTCACGACTTCCTGCTAATCGTCTGAGATTTTCTTTTGTGGCCCAAATAAGCAGTCGCCCAAATGACTCGTCAGCATCAATGTCATTTAACGAATCATACAATAAAAAATTCTCTCCTCCTACCGTGCGCTTATAATCATCAGGAATATCGCCTAAATCTTGTAGACTTCGTGGATTCGTTTGTATATTCTTCAGACTTAGGCTTATTATCTTAGGCTTATTTTAAAGGTCTTTTTCTACGGAATAAGAATTACTTATAGGCATTAACCTGTCATTTTTAACTTGGAATAAGCATGACGTCAATTAAAAAACGTTCATTATTTTAGAAGTTATTCAAATTTTTGTAAAACATTGAAAATGACGATTTTTAAGAATATCTTCTACAAATTTTGGCCAAATGACTTCTGTAAGGTCTTATTCTTTTCAAAATTTTATCGTCTTTCAAAATATAAACAAAAAAAAATTTTACTTTTCATGAATTTTATGTTAAAAAATTTTTGTCATTCCTTTGAAAATGGGCGCAAAAATTTGAAATAAGTTCATAGTATGTAAGAAAATTTCCTCGAGGACACTTGTAAACGCTAGTATTAAGGCAAAAAGACCAGTGTATAAATAAATATATGTAAGAATGGATGTCGAAATTTTAACAATTCTAAGAAATATGTTAAACGTTAAAACAATTGCTGTGTTAAAATTAAACATTTTCTTCTAAACGTCCAAAAGATACAATAGGGGAGGGTGGGGCAAGGATAGTTAGTGGCTGTAATGCTTAAATGGCTTATTCACCATTTGCGAAGTTAAGAGTTTATGTTTATAAAACACCTGTTTTTCAAAAATGTCAACGTAATCTTAATCACGCTTTATTATAATCTTGCTGAACACGAATATCGTATTAATTTTCAAAATTTTTAATAAAATTTACGTTGTTCCACAAAATTTAGGAAAAATTGAAATATGGGTTCCTTGCTGCCCCATGGGTCAAGAATAGTTAGACCTAATCGGGAATTTAATTTGACTAGGAAAAACTAATAATTAGTTACCATTAACAATTTTATTAGGAAAATATTACTTTTTGAATCAGTAAATGACTTTTTTTATCAAATACTATTTTTAACTATTAATTCAGATTTAAAGAACAGTATTTGTCAATTTGTAGTACTTTATGCGCTTGTAGTATTTCAATTAATGTATTAATAATTAATACTAATTTTCCACCAGCTTTTGGAGTTATATAGAGTGTAATTTAAACTAATTGTATCGCAAGTACACCCTACGTTACGACTGCTAAAATCTAAAATAAGACCTATATTGTAGGCTGAAAGTAGGTCTTAAATTTTGACAAATAAAATATGACATCAATAGAAATTAATTAATTTAATTGCTTGAACATTTTTTTAATCGTTTCTGCTTCATTAAATTTTTTGTCTAGATATTTCAGAGTAAACTGAAAGAAGAATAAGCTAGAAAACATTTTTTTGTGCATAATATAGGGGAGTGTAAGGTATGGTGGCGCACACTTTGTTTTTTGCATCTCTTTCTCTCAAAAATCAATATTTTTTAAAATTTCAAAAGCAAGCAGTTGCTGACATCTATAGAGCATATTTCTTTTAGTCGCGGTTGTTAAAATTTAAATGGATTGAAATTTTACAGCTCTTGGCGCAAAACACTGATTTTTTTTATTTTTGAATGTTGTAAGGTATGGTGGCGGGTTGGTGTATTCAACTAAAACATTATGTAGATGTTAAATATTATTTATTAAAACTACTGGAAATGATGAAAAATAACAAAAAGAAAAAGTACTGATGATTTAAAGTTTTAGAAAGAATGTTTCACTTCAGTTGTCACAATTTGGACATGTGAAGTAGTTGTTCAATGTTTTAACGCAACTAGCGTGAACTTCTCGACCGCAAGTATCACATATTCGTGAATTGTTGCGGTTGAGCACAAGAGGCATTAGTTCCAGGCACAGAATACAAAAATCTCGATCGACATCTTCTTCTGCTTCATCCTTTTGCCTGTCGATTGTGCCGATGGTGTTTTTCTTTTTGATGCTGTTTTTTTCTTTCCAGCTGTCGTTTTCTTCTTTCCGGCTGACATTTTTTTGATCGAATCGACTTTTTTCTTTTGGTTGTCCAATTTTTTAAGCTTGGCATCATGTTTTGCACGTGTCGTGGACACATTTTCAAGCGATGTCAAAATAGTGGACTTCATCGGCTTTCGACCACGATTTGATTTTTTGGCTGGTGTTCCTAACTTCAACGGTCCAACTGATTTCAATACATCACGTAGAGATGATGTAGAAGTGTCTACGCTCGACATACTTACCAATGTCGATGCACTGGCCAAGCCCGATGTACTGGGCATATCGCGATCTGTTAAAACAACGATACGGCGCTGTTCTTCCGCATTATCGTCTTCAACGCCAATTAGATTTTCCCCACTTGATTCGGCAGCTACATAATCACTTTCGGAAAAAACATTTGGATTAAAGGGGAAAATACCGGTTGTTTTGAAGCCCGACTTGATGCTTTTAGGCGTCGCAGCAATATCTAATGCTTGTTCGGCGATGAGAGGGACGTGATGCAGGTCGTATTTCACGCCAACGTTGTTTTTCTGCCATAAATTGTGCTGTTGAGAGATCACACTCTTGAAAGAAGAGAAGACCGAAACGTCCAGTGGCTGCATTTTATGTGTACAATGCGGTGGAAACGATAGCATGGTTATGTCGTATTCAACTGCCAAATCAAGAGCCGCAATTGACAGGTGGGATGCATGGTTGTCGACCAAAAGAAGTGTTGGCGATCCTTTTCTTGCACCCGAATGTTCGATAAAATGTTGCAGAAATTTCAAAAACTCTTCGGCTGTCATCCACCCACCGCCGTTTGCATAGCTACAAATGAAAAAAATATATTTTCATAGAAAGTAATTACAGCAAGAAACACAAAAAAACAGAAATATTTACAAAAGAAGTATTAACAAAAAATACTTACCCCACTGCTTCGGGAGCCCCATGAGCCATGTATATTTGTTTCATATTCTTTCGGGGAAAAAGATACATTGGCGGGATACACACACCACTTGCACTTACTGCCACCGCAAATGAAACAGTTGTCCCTCGCTCTTGAGACGTCTTCTGACCAACATTTCGAGCGCCTTTTTCGGATATAACTTTTATGACTCTAGTTGGTACGGTCGGGATTCCAGTTTCGTCCATATTCCAGATACGACTGGGCGAATAGGGAGTTTCCAAAACAACTTCCAAATTTCGGAAAAAGGAAGCTACATTTTCCTTATTGAAGGATTTCGCACGGTGTTCGCTAACTTGCTCTGGCGTTGGCAATGTCAAATTACGATGACGATTCATAAATGAGTAGTAATACTCTCTGCTTGCTTGACCATTTTTGTCCCACGAAGAAGGATATTTGACGTTGATCTTTTTAGCATATTCATATGCCATGACCCTCAATTCTTCAATGCTCAAACCATAATAAAGCGAGCTGGCGCGAAGGAGATACTTTTCCAGTTCCTCTTCTTGTTCATTATTCAAAATCTAATTTACAGACATAATCAAAAATAAATTAATATTTTATATAAAAAACATTTAAGACAAGAAAAAAAAAGAAATAATTAAATGAAATCAAAACTTACCGGCTTTGGACCAATCTGAGACAAATTATTCAAAATATCCTTCAACACATCATCAGTTTCTTTTGAAACATCAACATTTGCTTTGTCGATTTTACCTATATAACGTCTAAAGGTGGTTACCGGGATTCCATTTGCTTCAGCAATAGACGTCTTGGAATTGCCATGAATTTTTACCATTTTGATTGCCTCCAACATTTGGTCGAAGTCAATTTTTTTTCAAATTTTGCTTTATGTGACGGCATTTCTGAAAAATTTTAGAAACACGAAAAAACCAATAAAATTGCCACAGAATATGTTATTTGCTGATAATATACACTTCTGTACACGAAAAATGCAAAGACAATTAAAACTCGTGCAAATAAATGATCCGCCACTATACCTTACAAAAATAACGCCACCATACCTTACAAGCTATTGTTGGAAATATGATGGTGTTACTTTCATACAGCACGAATTGAAAAAAATGAAAAATATAAAAAACTGTTGTCCAAGGTCTAAATAATACGTTCCAAATATTTACCTGACTCAATTTTCAATAAATCTTCACTTTGGCACTGTTAATACACATATCAAAAAAAACTTTTTAGTTTCTTTTTCACTACTTCTTTACTAAAAATTACTTAGAGAACAAAACACGCGTTCGCTCATTAATACAACTGCATATAAAATGTCAGTACGATAAAAGACTTCGACTACAGTGATAAAATGTTTTAGATGTGACGTTAACTGTTAAATTTGACAAGCCCGCCACTATACCTTACACGCCACCATACCTTACACTCCCCTACCTTTTGTACCTCCGGGACTTATATGTCCCACTTAGAAAATTTTCTGTAATTCTTATAAAAGTTAACTAATTAATTTGCGATAAATTGCTTTCTATTCCGAATGGATGCTGCTACGATTAAAAAAAAGTGAATTACAAAAATTGTAATATTTATTTTAACCCCTTCAGTTAAAAATTGCTTATGGTCCAAAAACGGTCCGAAAAAGGTAGTTTTTTAAAATTCAAAATGGCGGATCCAATATAGCGACCTATTAATAGCGGATAGTTTTAAAATTGATGCGTTTCAACAGAAATTCATTTCTCGGGGGTTTTCTAGGTCGCTGATTACGAATCTGATGTCAGATTAAAACCATTTTGAATTTTGAAAAACAAACTTCAAATTCGGAATCAGCGACCTCAAAAACCTTAGTATACACTTTAGGCGAAGTTTCACCGTAAAAACCTGATTTGAAAATCTATCTGTAATCAAGGACCCCAAAAAACCTCGAGTAACAGTACTGAACAAAATTCAAGCAATTTTGGAAAATCTCGTCCGCCACAATAAATCCTCCATTTTTAATTTTTTAATTTTATAAATCTGACAACGGATTCGTAATCAGCGACCACAAAAATGCCTGAATAATATTTTGGAAAGACTTTGAATAAAATTTAAAAACATATTGATAATTTGTTGAAAAATTCCGCCATATTGGATCCGACATTTTGAATTTTGTAAATATGACTCCAAATTCGTAATTAGCGAGTCCAAAAACCCCCAAGTAACAACATTCAATCAAACTAATTAAAATTTTGAATTTGTCGTCCGCCTTATTGGATCCTCCATTCTGACTTTTTAAAAACTGAATTCGGATTCGTAATCAGCGACCCCCTAATAAAACCCATTTTCTTTCTCTAGCTGTGGCACAGAAAATTTTGTGGAATGAAGAAATACGACGATTATTATAGTTAATATTCAAAAAATGAATATAACACTCACGAAGCACGATAGTTAACGGGTTACATGGGTTAAAACGACCTGAAAACGTATGTTTCTTTAATAATTTTTTTTCATAAAAAAAATAAATTTTTTTATTTGAACACTTTGGTATCTGAAAGTACACTATTAAATGAGAAAGATATTAAATTTTTTATAAAAAATATTAAAAATCATGCCCGTAGCAACAGTTCTTCGGGCCCCTTTCAAAAAAAAATTGCTTTTGCGGTGGTCAAGATATCTTTTGACTGCTTCATCTAAAATCAAAATACAAAAAATTTTCTGTTAGTGGGTGAATATATCTCGTGATTGAACGAAGGGTTTTCAAAGAAATTGAAATTTAGATGTCTGACAGTGTCTTTTATCAAAAGTTAAAATTTTTAGAACCATTAAGACCATGTAAAATCGGTTCTAATTAACAAAAAAATATTCCTTCGTTCAATCACGAGCTATACTCATCCACTAACAGAAAATATTTGTTTTTTTGATTTTAAATGAACCGTTCAGAAGATATCGCGACCATTGCTTTTTTGGAAGGGTTCTCAAAGAACCTGTAGGTACGGCCCTGATTTTAAATATTTTTTAACGAAATTTTAACAAGTTACTCTCTTAATAGTGTACTTTAAGATATAAAAACACTCAAATAAAAAAATTTATTTATTTTATGAAAAAAAATTAAACAATCATACATTGTCTGGACGTTTTGACCCATGTAACCCCTTAACTCTCTACACTACATACAAGAGGCGATGTCATAGTTAGTCCCGTGAGGGGAAGTAGCTTTTCTCCACCATGCGGCACACCAAGTCGAAATTGAGTCCCGAGCAACCCTTACAGCGGGGATCGCTCGGACCCTTAAAGCCTCATTAAGGGAAACTGTTTATGACTTTTTCTATAAAAGTATAAATTCTTTAAATAGTATCATTTTTAATTTTTCATTCACATATTTAATTTCCTTTCTTTCTAATATGTTGTTTACAAAAAAAGTTAAAATTAAAAAAATTTATTATTTTTTCAGATACATAGAATGAAGTTAACTCTACCAAAAACCTTACATATTATTAAATATATATTTACTGTATAACATAGGTTTTATCTAAATCAATTAAATGATATTTGACCCAATAATTGCAGTATTTAAAGCAAATACCATATAACTTAATTTTTAAATTTTAACATTTTTTTGGTAAACAACATACGTATAAAATCGTGAGAAAGCAAGAAATTTAAATATGTTAATGAAAAATTAAAAATGTTATTATTCAAAAAATTTATATTTTTATAGAAAAAGTCATTAACAGTTTTCCTTAATGAGGGTTTAAGGGTCCGAGCGACCCCTGCTGTGAGGGTTAATCGGGATTTAATTCCAAGCAGCGCTCGCAGCGGGGGTCGCTAGGTTCCTTAATACCTGCCTATTCTTAACATGACATTTATAGGTTAGGAAAATAATAAATTAGAGAATTTAAATCTTAGAATGAATGGATGTTATGTAAAATACGAATTAGGAAATATAAAAATTATGAAAAAGAATTATTTGGAGAAATTAATATTAGGAAAAATAAAAAATCGAATAATAAAAAATTATTTAAAATATAATTTCAGTATGAAAAAAATTATACGAAATAATTATTCGAATAAAATAAAATTATAAAAATTGGTTATTATACAATAAAGAAAATCATATAAAAAATTATTAGATATTACAAAAATTTTGAAAAATACTATTTCGATATAATAATAATTATGAGAAGTGACAATTCGGTAAAGTTATAGTTAGAAGAAATTCAAGTTAGAAAATATAGTAATTATAAAGAAGAATGATTAGAAGTAAAGAAAATTATAAGTAATGTTAATTCGAAAAAGTTAAAATTATTTTGAAAAACATTTATAAGAAAAAAGTTTTATAACAAATAATATTTCGAAAAAATAAAATTTAGAAACTTTAAAATATAGAACATTTACACATTTATTTCGGTAATATTTAAATTATATTGAATAATAATTCGGAAATATTATATAATTATTATAATTATTAACAAATCTATAAAATAATATTTATCAAAATTGACATTTTGAAAATAAAAATATTAGTGTAAATAAGAAATATAAAAAATAATTTTTAGAAATGATAGTTCAGTTATTTAAAGATTATAAAAAATTTTCTTTCGCAGTATTAAACATTCTGTTAATTAGTCATTCAAAAAAATAATATTTTGACAATTCCCGTGTAGAAATTTCGCTGGGGCCCTGATCAGGGCCGCATAGGGCAGATGGGCCGATCTATTAGGGAATGAAACGCCGCGCTCGATGTGGCCCTGATCTGGAAATCCACATTTTCTTGTCGCCCCGATCTGGGCCTGATCGGGCGCGGCATTTCATTCCTTACTATGGCCCTATAGTAGGGTAATTTCTACACGGTTTATTCTTTCGATTAAAAGAAATTATAATTAGTTATTATCAGATAAAAATAATTTCGATAAAATAAAGATTCGGAAAATAAAAATTGGAGAGTTTTCATGCGCCTCATTAAAATCAATAGTAAAAATATGCGAAAAGACTTTTTATGTTATAGAAAGTAAATAAATTCCCATGCAAATAAATATCTCAGACTTCACCACTGTACAAGCGAAGCGTGTAAAATACCAGCACCAAACTTTTGGTCCGACAACTTTTTTCTCTTTAGATTCATCCTAAGGAAGAGAATCCACCATATGGCACTCTTAGCACTCCAAATATTTTTGAGACTGTAATTTTTTGGAAATGTAGTATTTTTAATTTTGTGTGCGGTCGTTTATAATTTGTTTCTCAACAGATGCAATGTTTTGTAATTGTTGTAAATAACTAACTTTTTATCTATTGCATGTAGAAAAAAACAGTTTTTTTAATTTTTGTACCCACTTATGAATAACTAAACATTTTTCTACTATATCTAGAAAGACGCAATTTCTTTCTAATTTTGCAATTTATTAAAATTAATCTAATAAACAAGAATACCAGTACATTTAATTATTTACAATTAAAAAAGAATTTTTTTTAAATTTCAACCAGCATTTAATATTTTTATAAAAAAATAAAACATTCTGCATCTTTCTAGGTGTAATAGAAAAAAGTTGATAAATAACAACAATTATTTGTTTAGACAATGGTAAATATTAACTATATAAAATTTAATTTAATATTTAATTTAACATTATATAATACCAATATAAGCTGCCAAATTTATAGATATTTGCTTTTCTTTATTTTGTTTTTGAAATTATTATAAATTAGCAATAATTATAATTATTTTATTGATATAATTTTGTCAAATTTTTATTTAAAAAAATACTCACAAAGTAATATATAGGTGATTTTCAAATAACTGTCATATTTGCATGACCCCATAGATAAATGACTAATAAACATTTATTAAAAAGA